TATGCTTGAGCTTCCCCACGTCAACGTTCTCAGCAAGATGGATTTGGTCAAAGACTCCGTGTCACGGAAAGAGCTCAAGCGGTTCATCGACCCTGATAACTCCCTGTTGGATGACGACCCAACAGACAGCAAGGCGGCGCTGATATCGTCCCAAAATAAGTCAGCCGATCCGTCTTCCGCGGATTCAGTCATGGCAGGAGGTAGCTTTAAGCGCCTGAATAGAGCAGTTGCTCAGCTCATCGACGATTTCAGCATGGTGTCGTTCCTACAGCTAGACGTGCAGAATGAGGATAGCGTTGGTGCCATCTTGAGCTATATCGATGATGCTATTCAATTCCATGAGGCACAGGAGCCTAGAGAGCCGAATGATGAGGTTGAGTATGATTACCAGGACGCAGAAATGGAGTAAGGCCGGTCCTGATAGGGACCAGCTTCTGTTTTCTTCCATTTACCGATGATACCCTGATCTGCAACACAGCATGCCGTGTTCTGAGCGATGAGGCCTACTGGCGAAGCATAGCGTCGGCGTTTTGAACATTGCATAGCTGATGGTTTATTCGACGGGCGATATCAAGAGAGTTAGAGTAACTATTTCGGTCCGCACCTCGTGAGGTGTACCAATTTTAGTGAGTATCGATGAGAATAGTTGCGTGGAAAATAGGGACCCAGCACGTCTGTGATTGCCAAGCTTTATGTCAGATTCGCAAGCACTTTGTGAATTATCCTGATTGGTACCCATACTCACCCAATTTCGCTATTCCCGTCATCTATCATCATCCTTCCTCATCACCAGCCCGCTCCCCTGGTCCTTCCTCTCTTGCCCGCACCTGCCATTCTCCTTGCATCCATCTCCCTGCCTCTTGCTTTCTGTCCTCCAATCCTCTCGCCCTCGTTCCCTAACCCGTGCAGGAAGCCCCAAACGTAGCCAAAGTCCTCCACACTTTGGTTAAAACCTCTCTGCCATACATACACCCCCAACCCTCCAACAGCCAACCACAATCCCATCTTGATAGCTAGGCCAACCCAATACATGATAGTTCTTCGCATGTAATCGAGAACTCGGAGAGATATGATGAGGGCGATGGCGAGGATAGCAAGAGTGAGAATGTCGGGGGCATCCGTTGAGAGTGAATGAAGCGCATTATTGGAGAGGACGTAGATGGGATAGAGGGTGGGATAGATCCGGCGATAGAAGAACAACTGGGAGCTGAGAAGGATGCGGTAGAGGGGGCCGAGATAGGGTTGGAAAGGGTAGTAGTAGTCATTGTAGAATCGGGCGGCTTGGGGAAAGAGATCTAGGCGAGATATTAGCAGCGCATGTAGCTGGAGAGAGACACGGGGAAACAAACTTACCCTGTAGGTAGTCCATAGTGAAGAGCCGATCCGTGGAGGATGCCTATTGGATGGACGATCGAGGAGACTTATAGAGCGATTGATATTTAGAGTCAAGAGGGGGTTGAATATGAGAGATGTGTGTCAATTCTCTATGAGTATCAGAGACATCTCCACTGCTTTGTCTTCATGCGGCTCCTAGCAGGCGCTCCCGCATTCGGGAAAACCTCGGTATACATGGAAAGCCCCACTCTACGGCTAGGAACGGTACGAAAGCTCTGTTCTAAAAGGTTCAAAAAGAGAGAATTTTCCCTGATGCTTCTCAGTTTTTGGGTTAATGGCGACGAATAGCATTCAATTGCTTGGAAGACTATCATACAGACCAATTGCTTACAGATCAATCCCCTCCTTTACCCGCACACCGAACGGCTTCAGTCCCTCCAACATGGCCACAATAGCTACTTATAAAGTCCCGAAAGTGGAGAACGAGAACAATGTAAGCGCGAATCAAGCCATTGAAGCTATACCCTAACCACCGGAACACTAGAAACACTACTCAAAAGGTTCACCAGACCGAAAAGCCCTGGAGGAAGCACTTCGCGGAGCCCAGAAGCAAACACTCGAGGTGCCGGCTGTGGTCAATGGCAAAGAGGTGAGAACCTGCAGACGGCACTGGCTGTCCAGAAGTCCTGCCCTTCTTTCTGGTGCCGATTGATAGCAGCAATCCCACGGAACGGCAGGATTCAGTTGCTGATACATTGTGCAGCTGTTGAAAACACCGGCCTTAACCCAACCAAATCCTGCTGCACACGGGGAAGTAGTTGCCAATTACACCAATGTTGGCTCCTCTGACGTTTCAAATGCCATCGAATCTGCCCTTGCAGCCAAGCCAGCCTGGGAATCGATGCCTTTCGCCGACAGAGCTGCTATCTTTCTCAAGGCAGCGGACCTAATTGGTGGAAAGTATCGATATGAGATAATGGCTGCGACAATGCTTGGTCAAGGTAAAAATGCCTGGCAGGCTGAGATCGATGCGGCTGCAGAGCTCTGCGATTTCCTGAGATTCAATGTGCAGTATGCTCAAGAACTTTATGCACAGCAGCCAGTCCACAACTCCCCCGGCGTCTGGAACCGCGTTGAGTATCGACCTCTGGAGGGCTTCGTCTATGCAATTTCCCCTTTCAATTTCACAGCCATTGGTGGAAACCTTCCCTGTGCTCCAGCTTTGATGGGGAACGTCGTTGTCTGGAAACCATCTCCTTCAGCCATTGCTTCCAACTACATAATTTACAGGATCCTCCTCGAAGCTGGCCTACCCCCGAATGTAATCCAATTTATTCCTGGTGACGCTGTCGAGGTGACCTCCGTTGTTCTGGCCCACAAAGACTTTTCCAGCCTACACTATACGGGCAGCACCACCGTCTTCCGCAGCCTGTACGGCAAGATCGCCAACTGCGTGGCGGAAGGGAAGTATCGAGGCTACCCACGCATCGTTGGTGAGACCGGAGGCAAGAACTACCATCTCGTCCACGCCAGCGCCGACCCCCACAACGCCGTCATCAACACTGTTCGTGGGGCATTCGAGTACCAGGGCCAAAAATGCAGCGCTACCTCTCGCGCCTACATGCCATCGTCATTATGGCCAACCATAAAACCAGTCCTAGAAGCACAGACCAAAGCCCTGAAAGTTGGACCTCCAATCGAGTTCGGCAATTTCATCGGGCCCGTCATTCACCAAGCATCCTTCGACAAGCTAAAGAAAGTTATCGACGACGCCAAAGATGACCCAGAGCTTGAACTACTGACAGGCGGCAAATATGATTCCTCGACCGGCTACTACATTCACCCTACCATCTACGTGACCAAGAACCCCCACCATCACCTCCTCAGTACCGAGCTCTTCGGTCCCATACTCACCGTTTATGTTTACGACTCCGCACCTTCCAGCGCGTTCGGAGACATTTGCAAGCTCATAGACAGCACATCCGACTACGCCTTGACTGGCGCCGTGTTTGCGAAAGACAGAGAAGCCATTCGCTTTGCAGAAGACATGCTAAGGAACAGCGCTGGTAATTTTTACATCAATGTTAAGTGTACCGGAGCGGTTGTGGGCCAGCAGCCGTTCGGTGGCGCGAGGGCGAGCGGGACGAACGATAAGGCTGGGTCATCAAACTTGTTGAGTCGATTCGTGAGTATGAGAAGTATCAAGGAGGATTTTGTTGGTAGTGGTGAGGTCGAGTACCCGAGTAATGAGGTTTAGATGGGTAAAATTGTATAAATATGGTGGCTGGAAGCCGAAAGTCTCTTTTGGGCACCAAGATGTGTCTCGTGTAAATGGTCACCTATATGACAGTGTGGTAATACTTCTTTCTACAGATGCGGAATTCAGGTCAGAAGAAAAGTGTAAGGTCTTCAGCGACAAAAGCCCGGTACATATTGTCTTACAGATTTTAGGCCATTCACACCCAAATCTTGAAACCCTTGAAATACCAGTTTCCTTCCTCGGCACTTGGATCATACGCAGTGCGATTGAAAGTCTCAGGTCTCCGAAGGGTTGGGCAGCGTTCGATCGTCTGAGAAAAAGGATAGAGAGATCCGAAACCTTAACTCGAATATCTAAACCCCCTCTACCGAACATACCAGTGACGGTCACGACAAGCGAGACAACAACTGGATTGAATGAACCTCAATCTCATTCTGCACTGAAATGCTTATTCGTTATCGGATGTATCCGCAGCCCCGAGGACAACGGCTTCCCTTCTCTCCGAACGGTTCGCAAAATCCGTGAAACCCACTTGCTAAGAAATCCGAGGAATACTCGACGCCCCAAAGAACGTAAAAACCCTCCAGTACCGTTGATGGATAGTCTGAGTAACCCCCGGGGGCAGGATGCTCCTCCTTTGGTCATCAACAGCCTCGTCCTCGAGGGATCCGTCTTCGGATGCACAGGAAGAGGAAGCAGCGTCGTCGTCGAGCGCTTTCGCAGCGTCGTCGAAATAACGGGCGTCAAATGAATTAACGCTACGCCCAGCCCCGCAACCGATCTCAATTCTTACATGGTGAAACCGATTGCGTGCCTGGAACGCGCAGCTTCTAGGCCAGCCTTGGCCGGACCCTAGTGTTGAGGAGTCACCACTGTCCCCAGGGCTTCCATGTTGTTCGTTTTGCTAGGAAAGAGGACCGTGAGTATTGGAGTGGGGAAAGGGTGTAAATCTGGCAAGGTTCTGGATTGGACATTTGGCTTTTAGTGTTAGTGGTGCGTAGTACCGGATCACGAGGTTGCTGTCACTGCTTAGGAGGATAGGAGAGGGACGAGTGAACTAGGGAAACAAGGGAAAGAAAACGTGATGGCTTGGATAATATGTCGCGCGCTCTGCAGTGGTCGAGAATCGGACATTAAGAAAACTGTATTACTACGTCTTTGTGTATACAAAAGTGGCTTCGTGAACGAAGGTAGCAAGATGGAACATGGCAAGTCGCAGGATACGAGAAGGAGGCCATGGAAAACGAGGGGCAAGCGAAGTCAGCCAAAAATCAAAATGCCAGTAGCCCAGTGAAGAAACGCTGATGATAACGATCAAATGGCTGCCCCTGTGCAAGAAAGCCCAAGAAAAGGGGTAAGTTCGACGCAAAATAATTTTCCCTTACCCGATCCCAAATCCAACTACCTACTGTTTTCCTTTGCCTTCCCCCTTCATTACCCCGACAACCGTTGGCACCAAAATCGCCGTTAGGAACATTGCAACAACAGCGACACCAACGACAATCTTGGACGTTCTACCACCGCGCCACAAGCGCTTTTTGGAAGGAGTTCTGGCTTCGAGATCGAAGTTTTTCCACCCGGGGCCTTGACCAATAACAGTAGCTTCGGCGCAGTGCGGTTCGAGGTCGATATTGACCCAACCCGGTTCATGAGTACTGAACGCGGACGCGTCCTTTCCTTTGTTGTTGTTGTCAAACATTTCGAAGGGAAAGCTATGAGTATGAATCGAGAGATTGGCTAAAAGTGGATTAGTTTTCTGGAGGTTTGAATTGGATCGTGGGAGGGCTGAAACTGTGGATGAGAAGGAGAGAAAGATAGGAGGTTGGGGTGATATATAAACGGCTGAATGAGTAACAGCCATGAACGGACTTTGTGTCTTGAACCCTATAATGTCAGGCTTGCGGCGCACAAAGAAACGACGAACAATGCATTGTGAATACGTTGTCTTTTGATTGTGCCCTGCGACTGTCGACGAGAGAGCACAAAGAGCAATAAAAGATCTGAGTCGTCGTCCATGTTGTGCGTGGGGGCCTATTACCGCCACAAAAGAAGGCTCCTGTCCTTTAGCGATGTCGACTTTGTTCCAATACCGTTTTGATCGTCGTTGACCGAGTGTTGGTGGCAGACGATATAGCACCAACTTAATTCAACCAACCCCCGGCTGCGACGGGCGCAGGCCATGTTCTGAACTCCTTATTAACCTGTAAGAAATGGAAAAAAACACGGTTGGACGTGTTCTGTTTCGATAGCAGCATAATTCGTTGTTTGACTTTGAATACAGTGTGTTCTGCAAGGCTGAGTGCAAGTGAACGCTGTGGAGGTGGAGGGTGGCAACTGCCTCTAGGCCGTAGGCCTTTGGGCTAGGCCTAACACAACTAGCTACTTGGTAATATAGATTTTTCAGTAGCGAATATTCGTTCATCCGCCCACACCACGGACTACCTTATGAATTCTTCAACGCAGGGTTGTCATTATGCGAGGCGCTGGAAATGGGTGGCTTAGTCCTAGACCAAGCAGCTGGAGTCCTTCATGCCCTTCCGTTCCTACTTTAGAGCGTACCCAGGTACACAGTGACCCATCAATCTACACAAGCCAGTTTCGATACGTGTCGCTATCCCAACTTTCCAGAGAAGGATTATTGGGAAGAGAGCAAATTGAGAGCAGAGCTTGAGAGATGATTCTCGATAATTGTACTTTGGTATAGCAGTTTCTGCAATTTGTTTATAATCTCGACTGTATCATCTCTTACAACGTCGTCTGGTCCTTCTCTCCATGCATGACTTTTGGCCGTTGCTTGTACCCGCAATCGAGCGAGCATCCCCGAGAATCAACGAATGGCCTTTGCCAACACCCCCCCCTTCCCCCCAAAGTACATTTTCTGGGAGGTTTGAAGGTTCGCCCCGCGATGAGGCTGACCGCAGAAACCCGTGACCGCCAGCAATTCAAGTCACTGTATGACGTCGTCGGCCTAGTCAAGATAACCCCTCTTCAACAATTCAAACGAGTGCACTGTACAATCACGACAATCATCACAACGCTATCTCCCTTTAGCTTGAGAGCCTGCCAAACCCACAACGATCATTCATCCCAGTGTCCAGATCAAAAAGAAGAAAATGGCCACGGGAGCAGTCCAGTTTCCCCCATCCAACATCGTCTTACCGGGCTCACGACTCCTTCCCACCGCACCCTTTCCTGACACCCACAGCACTCCATCCTCGTTTCCCCCACCCAGCGCTTCTCCAAGATCAATCACAGATGATTGGGTTTCTCTCTTCAACAATCTCCTCAGTGGAGAGCACGCTTCCATAACAAAGCTTTTCTTCAAAGAATCTTGCTGGCGAGATTTGCTCTGTATGACTTGGGACTTTCACACACTTCAAGGACCCGAGCAGATCCTTAGATTCATTCAAAGCTCTCCCCAAGGTGGCCAATTGACCAGCGTCAGCTTGGACGATTCTTCAGCACATAAATTCCCACAAGCCTCAGGTTTTGGGAGCTTGAAGGCAGTCCAGACATTTCTCAAGATTGAGACTAGCACTGGAAGGGGAGACGGTCTGGTCAGACTAGTATCGGACACCAATGATGGTGGCAGATGGAAAGCTTTGACTCTATTTACCACCCTGAAAGAACTTAAAGGATACGAGGAAAATATTCGCAGTCGAAGACCACGAGGAACAGAAAGCAGCCTTGAGGATAGAGGTCGAAATTGGAAAGATCGGCTTGTTACTCAACAAAATTTCGAGGGTGGCCGCCAGCCTATCGTGTTGATTCTGGGTATGCTATGAAGGACCAAGATGGCCAAAACGATATCAGCTAATCATTTCTCCCTCTCCAGGTGCTGGCCAAGGTGGACTCACTGTGGCTGCTAGGCTCAAGCAACTTGGCCTAGAGACCTTGATAATCGACCGGAACCCTCGCATAGGAGATAATTGGCGAAACAGATACCATCAACTGGTCTTGCATGACTCGGTCTGGTGGGTTATAACGATGGGCATGAATTTCCTCAACTAATATGCATTGCAGGTACGATCACATGCCTTACTTGAACTTCCCGCCGAATTGGCCTGTGGGTTCCTCCGCAGAATCTTGAGATAAGAGGAGCTCAATATGTCTAGGTCTTTACCCCAAAGGACAAACTCGCAGATTGGTTCGAATACTATGCAGGTGTCTTGGAACTTAATGTGTGGACTAATACTACCTTGGAAACGTCAGAATGGTCTGAAAGTACGCGGCAGTGGACGGTGACTCTTGCGCGCGAAAAGGATGGCAAGAAAGAGAATCGTAATTCATTCTTCCTAAACCGAATCCAACTCAATAACAAGAGCATAGGGACTCTACATCCTCGGCATGTCATCCTGGCGACAGGTCACTCTGGGGAGCCTTACTTCCCCTCTCGCATCGCTGGAATTGACGATTTCAGAGGGGACCTTCTCATCCACTCATCGCAGTTCACCACGCCTAGAGGGAAAAGCAAGGGAAAGAAGGCAGTGGTAGTTGGCTGTTGTAACTCCGGCCACGACATCGCTAGAGATTATTATGATCACGGCTACGATGTCACAATGGTGCAACGCAGTAGTACCCTCGTTCTCACAAGCGATACTCTAAGTGAAGTGACCATGAAAGGCCTTTACGCCGAAGATGGGGTAAACAGTCCCTGCTTCCATTGGAATTAGCACGCTAATTCTTTTATCCTTGTCAGCCCCCTGTTGAAGACGCGGACATAGTCAACATGTCTATTCCCAACCCCATTGCTAAACGCCTTCATATACAAGCCACCAGTGAAATGATGCGGCGTGACAGCACTCTTCTCCACGGGCTCACGGCTGCCGGATTTGCCGTCGACAGTGGTCCTGACGGCGCCGGCCTTTACATGAAATACCTCAGCCGAGGCGGCGGTTACTACATTGATGTAGGCGCCTCGCAACTCATCGTAGATAAAAAGATCAAGATCAAGCAAGGGCACGACGTCAAGTCTATAAAAGCCCGTAGTCTTGTTCTGGCAGATGGTTCGGAGCTGGAAGCAGATGAGATCGTTTTTGCGACAGGGTATCAAAATATGAGAGAGACGGCGAGGAAGGTCTTTGGGGACGAGTTGGCGGAAAGTGTCCACGATGTTTGGGGGTTCGATGACGAGGGAGAGACAAGGGGCATGTGGCGACGAAGTGGACATCCAGGGTTTTGGTTCTTCGGAGGAAATCTTGCCCTTTGTCGCTTTTACTCGAGATTATTGGCCTTACAGATCAAGGCTATCGAGGTTGGACTTACGAAAGGCTGACAGGTCTTGAGTTCGTCGGGTATGACTGATCTGCACGAACCTTTTCATCTCGTCTCCTTGACGTGTAAGTATGGATTTACTTTAATATTTCTGTGCCATTTCATAGGTACATATGCTGACTTTGTTCTGTCTTTCTCCCGTTCTGCAGACATATACAAAGTCCCGCACGTTTACCCTCCAAACGCCGACTGGAACAGTACGGGTTGGAATCAATGGGAATTCAACGAAGAACTGCAATATATTTCCCACGGCTACATGGCCGCCGCGTATTTAGGCCTCGCAGCTGGAAGCCACGCCCGAGACAATGCGCACAATTTTGCCGTCTTCGCCTTTTGCATATACCACATTGAATTACAATGTCTGGGCACTTTTCAGTCAGATGTCAAGAGGCGGCGTGATTTGCCGTTCGAATCGGCGTTGTCACCAAAGGCGGTAGAGAGAATCAGGCAGGGGAAATCTGATCCGAGGAGGGATTTAACGAAGAATACAGATCGAGGGATAAGGTCTCTGAGCCAGGTCTTCTGGCTGAGGACAACTTGGAAGGTGGAGGAGAGCGTGTTACGCGCTTTAGAGATGTTGATGCTCCTGGAGCTCTGTTCTGGTAGATAGACAACCTGTAGATAGATAATCTTATTGTGTATAGAAATCAGAATGAACCTTCTATAATACAAATTTGCTCTCTGATTCGATGATCGAGCTGGCTTCTTGTCTTTCATCCACCACATGAGGTGACTACTCGGAGTAGGAGGAGCCAGCCTCAGCTGGTCTGTGATAGGGTATTAGGTGGAGGAAGAGGCGGACTAAGCCTGGATTGAGGAATCGCACGGACGCATTCACGGTGCCGTAGAAAATTCCCTAGTACCTCAGGAGCTAGACACACATCGGCGGACGTTGTACTTAGAGGGTAGAATCTGGAGCACGACTCACGAGGGCCTAGTCCTAATGCGGAGGTGAAGTAAGATCTTATCCCGAAGTCCGGCTTACATGTGGCTTTGTGGCTGTGTACAATTAGTGCAGATCCCTTTTTTTTTTTAGCAGCTTGACAGCGTGTCGTGACGATCTTCTCGTGGTGCTTTTCTTGTCTTGCTCTGGATCACTTTACAACATTGCTATTGTCCTCCATCAATCAAATACGACAGACTGTATCCTTCTGACGCCACCGTTGAAGCTTTGCGTTCAGTGCAGTACGAGTGTACGAGATGATGAGGCTCATGAAACAGGACAATCAGAAAAATCAGGATTTTCCTTTGCAATTCCGTCATCATGCCAAGGTTGAAAAAGCCCACGATGCCGTCTTCTTGCCGCGACGATCCCGGCTTACCTTACCTAGTTAGTGTCAAGTACATCATCTAGCGGCCTTGCTATCGCCAACTTCACCTCGCTCTCCAATCAATATTGCGCGATGAGGCCAGTGTGGCTCAAATACTCAAGGATGTTAATTGCATCGCGTACCGACAATCCGTTGGGTCTTGCAGCATCTATGACAGCATAACTGTGGCTGCGCTCCCTTCCTCCGCTTCTTGTATCTTGTATCTTCCCTCTAATAATACTCTTTCCTCATTCATTCCTTTTCTTGCCCGTTGCCGTTGATGAGTCGAAAAATAAATTTCTGTGGTGAGCAATTGATTTGATTGTTACCACAGTGATAGTTATTCAACGTCACCGCTGTGTCGAATCACCTCTCTTCCATATCAATTTCGGACATCCCTCCGTGCCTCATCAACCTTACTCACCATCAAGATGGCAGCTGCAACCACAACATCTAATCCTCTGAACGACTTCATTGGCGCTGCCGGAGCTGCAGCCAGTGTCGTTAAGTCAGTAAACTCTGTAGAAACTCCGCCAACTTCATCTTTATCTTCGACTTCCTCATCACCATCAGCAACTGCGGCGCCCGCACCAGCAGCTACGTCAGCCGTGGCCGGTGCTCATCATGGATTGAGCGAAGGAGCCAAGATCGGCATCATCGTCGGCTGCGTTGTTGGAGGCTTACTTCTTCTCGCACTCCTCGGCCTTTGCTGCTGTTGTCTACTCCGTCGACGACGCCGTAGCAAGCGACGCCCAACCGTCACTCCGGTTGAGGACGAAGAAGTCAAATCATGGAAATCGCCAATCAACCCAGGCCGCCACTTCTCCAATTACTCTCCTGCGCAAAGAGGAGAAGTGCCTACAGAACAGTCTCCCACCGTCCCACTTATGGCGGCCGCGGCAGCTGAACACCACGTACACAATGAGAAAGCCCCAAGCCTGTCTCAGCACCCAGCTATGCGCCATCATGAGAACCCATTCGTCCCTGAGCCACCCAGTTCTCGTCGGACTGCACCAAACTCTCGCGCTGGACTTACGGATGGCATGATTCCTGGCGCTGCTGCGTACGTTCTTCCTGAGAAACCAGGTTCGCGCAAGAGCTCTTCTCGCTCTCGTTCCAATTCCGATACCCGACCCCAATCTAGCGGGCTTCCTACCCACAACGATGCGGACCGACCGCCGACGCCATTCGGTCTCACTGGTTTTGGCGAACCAGCCGGTCACACTATCCACCGTGACCATGGTGTCAGTCCGCCTTACAGCGGCATTGGCCAACCTTATGAGCACCAGCATGTTCATAACCTTCAAGTTGATGCACCATCCAGAGAGCTACGACAGTCATTACGTAACCATGAAGTTTTCCCCGGAGCAGCCTTCGCCGACGATAGTCACCCCAAGTATCGCGACAGCCGTGGCTACACTACCCCACCCGAGGTGCCATCCCGCTCACCCAATAGGAATAATCGTGCCAGCACGTTGGCAGATAGCAGTCATGACTCTGAGCTTAGTACTACCACTGCGAGCAATAGCAGCGGCGAGCGATACCAAAGTCAGATCGATCCTTACCAGCCAGCGCAGCGTGAGACGGTGGCACCTTGGGAGCAACACCAGAAACGATTTGCCAACTCGCCCCAGTCATCACCTCACGTGGCCGCACCACCGCCAATTCCGTGGGAGGACTCGGAGTTCAACATCCATTCACGGAAACACCAAAGCCACAGCCCGAGGCAGAGTGGACAATATCCGTCCGGAGATGGCAGGAGGAGAAGCAGCAGAAGTCCAGCTACCAGCATCAACGGGCAGCCGAGAAGATTGAGGTTTGAGGACCTTCAGGCTGACAATCGTGCTAGCGGTGGCTACAGTAGCGTGGGACAGCACGACAGCTACGATGGCTACAACAACAATAACTCCAACAACAGCAACAGGTGGAGTCAGGGAGTCGGAGAGGCTCTGTAATAAAATAATGAAAGGAGGACGTAAGCGTGACGAACTTTGAGCATAACGGAACGGGGAGCGAATACATGAGCACTCGTTGCTGCTGGCAGATATTGCACGATAATGATAGATACCCGATGCAGAGAACAATTTTATCTCCAAGTTTAAGTTAGACCTCAAAACTGTTGTACCGAATTTGAGGCAGTCAGTCCCTCCAACCATTTTGCTCCATAGAATATCTAGATTACTTCTTAGAGTTGAGGCTATCTGATTGGCTACCGTGCAACGACAAATCATCCCTACTCCATCATGTTGATTTATCATACAGAATATTCATTCAATGAAAGTACTATGATCGATGCTCGCAAAGGTCGCTCAGCTTGGCTGAAGTCATCGAATCTTCATCGTTTCGCCGGAAAAGCGGCAAAATGCTCTGGGACTAGACCTCCCTCCCGTTCAATGCCTTTCAGTGGCAATTTTCGAGAGTACTTGTAGCCATTCCGCTCTCTGAATGTCCTTTCTTCTCTTTGCTCTGTTGCTGTACTTCTGACGAGCCTGTTATTCTAGCCTGGCTTTCCTTGAGAATGTCACCTGTCCCGTTAGTTGCCTTGCTCGGCTTCTTCTTCTTCGTTCCGGCTTTGGGCCAGTCATCTTCGAGCTGTTCAACCACTCTAATTCCTACGAACTCGATAAAGTCTTCCGTTGCTTCTGGGTACCGGGCGGCCCTTGTGGCTACCGGTTTAACTGACCCTCGTTCGATAGAGTTCGACAGCGCAGGCAATCTACTGGTTGTTCAAGCAGGCGCGGGGATTGAGAGTCTTCAGCTGCAAGATAATGGCGGCACTTGCGTGACTGTCAAGTCGAAGAAGACCGTGGTGCAGGCCAGCGCCGTAAGCCGCGTTCTCTGAGCCTAGGGTCAATACTGAAACGTCGTACGCAGCTCAACCATGGCATTGCGTTATCACGAGATGGGAAAACACTTTACGCTTCTTCAGCAGAAGCAGCCTACTCGTGGGAATACGATTCAGCGAGCTCCACCGTCAGCGACACCAATATGACCGTAGTGACGGGTATGAACACAGATGACCATACTACGAGGACCCTCCTCATCTCTCAGAAGGTTGACGGCATGCTTTTGATCAGCCGAGGAAGCACTGCCAACATCGATCCAGCAGCGGAAATGCTTTCTTCAGGCCACAGTCAGATAAAGGCTTTCAACCTCAACAACATCACGGCGGATGGCTATTCGTATGATACCGATGGGCTACGTCTTGGGTACGTACATTTCGGACCAACTCATCCCTCCTACTTTTTACAAATTCTGGGTTTGAATGCCAATCTTTTGGGAGCAGAGCGCTCTTCTCATTGCTCGAATCCGGTTTATGACTCTGCTTGTTGCCCTGAGAAAGCCATGCTGACTCCGAAATGTGCGTAGTTGGGGGCTTCGCAACTCGGTTGGTGTCGCTGAGCATCCGACTACTGGTGGTATCTTCTCCGTGGAGAACTCGGTCGATCAGGCCACGCGTGATGGCCAAGATGTCCACGAGGACAACCCTGGCGAAGAATTGAACTTTCATGGGTACCTCAACGGAACTCAGTATTCAGCGCAGGGCAGCAATTATGGATATCCGTATTGCTTCGCTGCTTGGGATCCAAGCGACTTACCGGACAATAGTAATTTGACTGTCGGCAGCCAATTCGCTATTGGAAATATGAACAACACTATCAATGATACTTACTGCGCAGAGCAGACACCGCCGAGGTTAACTTTCGAGGCGCACATGGCGCCACTAAACATTGTGTTCAACAACAGCGGCAACGATGGCTGGGTCACCTTTCATGGGAGCTGGTATGTCGACCTTTTGGATGGGCTGGAAGCATAGGACACTGACATGGTTTAGGGACCGCACCGACCCTTCCGGCTACAAAGTCTCTCTCATCTCCTTTGCCGACGGCGGCGAACCCGTGGCTCCGGCGAACAGTAACACGTCCTACACAGACATCGTCGCAAATGCCAACAATACCGCCTGTCCAGGGAATTGCTTCAGACCAGTGGGGTTAGCTTTTGATAGCCAGGGTCGCATGTTCTTCAGCTCTGATGCTAGTGGTGAGATCTATGTCGTGACAAAGGATGAGACAGCAAACGGTACGACTGGGAGTAGCTCGTCTGGCAGCGGTTCTTCTGGTGCCAAACCCAAGTCTGGTGCGCAGAGGCAAGGAGTGTTTAGTACTGGTACGCTGGTGCTTTCTGTGCTTGCATGTTGCATAGTACTATGACATGCTCGTTTCATCCGAAATACAAGGAGACGGTCATGCACTTACCGCGCTGAAATCCGACCATTTTCGCATTGCACCTTACAAGCTGATCAATAGACGAGAAACACATCGATGAGTGCTGCAGTCGGATGGAGAGGCCGCTTGTGCTTGCGAAGCGCACTACGGTGCCTCTCCCTTATGTGATCGCTCTTGTCACCGGAACAAGCAGCTCGACTTGGGCGTCTAGAGGAAGGAGTCATCTAATTCTCAAGCATCTGTAGGATAGCAAGTCGGTCCAATCTGGTATCTGAAAGATTGTCAAGTATCCACGATCTACGTGGATTGAGACCTATAATTTACATCTGCTGAAGACTGTCGGTGCTATCGCATAGAGAAGCTCTCCTCGTTCACCGAGACGCATTCTCTTGCGTAAGACCTTGATCACTCTCATTTGATCGAGAATTATCTCAGGAGATGCCGCGATCACAGATCTACTGAGGTTCCACCCTGCTACAGATTGCATGCAAGTGTTGAGAGCTCCGTTCTCACCGTAGCTGGGGCTTACACCAGTTTCAATTACAAGTTATAGGAGGCCGCCAGTCAATTCGTTATCCACTGGATCTATAATGTCAAAGTGGCTGCGAGATGAGAAATGGTGATCGCGGAAACTTCACTTTTCGATTTGCCACCGTTGTCATTCACTCCAGTGAAACTCAGGGGCTCCATGCAACTTTCACTTTCGTCTTAATCGGGTGAAAAAGACCAACCTCCTCATTATCTTTCTGCTCACTTCTGCGCACTTTGCTCTTCATCGCTCTTCCTCCTCAAACTCCCAGCATCCTCCCAACAACCGTACTACCTCTACATACTCGCCGTCTCCTTCTCCTCCGTCAGTCTCATACCTCAGCTACTGGTTAGCTACAGTCATCAGCGCAACATCGCATTGCATTGGCAACCCACCGCAAGCACATTGACTCAAACGTTCACCTACCTTGATCGTTACTCTACATCGCGTCTGTCCACCCTCGCAACACTCTTCATACCATATCACCGCAATGGCTTTTAATTCTCTATCACTCGAGGTAATCATCCTTTCTGCTGTGCTCCTCAGGGCGGCTTGCGCTTTGTTCAAAGTGCTTTGTACTGATGTATCCCCCCGTACTAGCTCAATGAGCAGATTGCAACATTTCTAGAAACCGACCGACAGGTGTGCAATTTCCGACTCATATGTCATGCCACCAATTCCGCAGTGGACACATATCGTTGTGGTGTCTGGCGCGACCGGTACGCTCAGCGTTACGATATGCCGGAGAAGAAGGGAGGCCTGGAGATTGCGATGCATTACAAGATTCGTTCACGGCTACTTCGCAAAAGTGCCAAGTTCTTAATGGGTCAGGAACTCAGAGAGATCAGCTGTATGGAACTCGTAAGAGATCTCATTGTTGGTGAGCGAGCCAGGATTACCCGTACCTCAAACACTGTACTTACATTCTCTAGAATCATATGCAAACCTACCTGTTGGCTGTAAAGCGAAACACCCCTCCAACAACCTCAGTGTGATCCAGGAATTCGTGCAACGCTCCAAGATGCTCAGAAAAATCTTCCACTGCTTGGAAGAGAAAAGCAACATGAATCCTCTCCTACAGACCTTGCAACTCGTCCTCACGCATTTGCAGCTGAACAGTCCCTCAGTCAGAGGTAACCCATCACTTGGTTTTGCATACTCTCAATTTGCGGTCTACTCTCACCCCGACGACTTCCCAATGTTCAGCGCGAATAGTATATGGCAGATTAGCACAAACCTTCTGCTGCACATCGCAAACTTCTTCAAACACCATTTGACTGAGAAAGGCGAGAATACTCTGTATGAGCTATTCAACCAGCTCAAAGCGCATGAAAAGCCTAAGGCTTGGGACTCAAGACTCGTTCAAGGAGGTGGTGCGAAGACGCTTGGTAAGCACTGGAAAGGGACTTATGGTAAGTCTTCTTAGTCTGGAAGCTCAGATTCTGTAACTAAAATACTGATGCTTTGTAACAGCCTACTTGCACGACCTTTTCGAGATGGATCTCATTCGTCGGTGCGAACCTGGCAAGGAATACTTTTTCACCGACAGCATCGATCACCATGACGGTTTTCAGACTCTGGAACTTGACTTCGAACCTGAAGCAAATAGAGCCCGTTGGCCAAAAGTATTCGAATCTCACCTCAACGCCATGCCTCCCAAAGTTCTGTGCATGAGACTCGACACGCTCTATAAGACTAAACCTCCTCAAGCCGAACGAATCCCACGTGTAGGACGTCGCACAATGGCAGCGTATACTCGGGGCAACCTCCGTGAGCAACCTCCTCAAGAACCACGCTCACCACCAGGCACACCGGGCGTGACTCGCGTTGACATCGAGCTACCGCTGCCACGAAAGAAAAAGCCATGTTCTCCAACCTCGCCGACCTCTCCCAAGCGCGGTGTTCACTACCACCAGTTCAGCGGCTCAGGAAACGATGCCGAACCCTTCCACTGCAGCGGTATCCTACACCCATTGCCGCCTCAGGAGGGGATCCCAGGCTGGCACCGCATCTCGATGATGAAATACTTCGATCCCTTAGCTCAACCAGACAGCATGCCACCGCAGTCCGGCACCACCTGGGCTCCTTTCCAGTCTCCGCCATCCGAGGGGGACGCTCCATACGTGCCATACAAGCCAGCTGGCGCCGACGACAACCTCAGTGATATGTATCAGGTCGATGACGATGCCCAGGTCAATGCTGGATGCTGGGCTTATGAAGGTGTGGTTCTGCCGGGTGGCATGATCATGCTGGGGAGGTGGTGGAGCCCGATGGACGATACGGGGTTGAAGAGGTGCATGGGGCCGTTCATCTTTTGGAATGTCGACAAGGATGAATGAGCTGAATGCACGAGAGGAGGGCGTGCTTGAGCGGACTTGGACCCGGACACGACGACAATGAACACACGCACTTCAGACCATCTTCCACCACCACGGCCTCATTTAGCAGAAACTGAACACGGAAAGCAATGATCATTTACGCAACACATGAAACGACCTACCTGGATACGGACCAAACACTCTCATTTTTGGATCATCTATTGGTCACCACACTCCTTTTTCGCAAACCATCTTCCACCTTTTCACAATCTCACATCACAATTTATCCAGCACATGAGGGACCGGACGAAGATATTCGGACACGAATCAACGCCCTCATTCGGGATCATATCCCCGTCATCCCAGTCATTTCCGCACACACTTTCCGCTCACGATTCACGATTCATGAATATCAAGACGAAGGGCACCCCTACATCCGATCTCTCGCAGCCTGCTTGTGGGCTCGCCCCGAGGTCTTTGATCGCCGTTAATACGATTACGCTTCCTCCATCTGGCTCCCCAGCTAGCACAGCTATGCCGTTGCGTCGAGCCGGAGAAGCTCATTGCCACACCAGGCGGCCGGTCTTTAGGGATCGTTTCACGTACGCTTGGTGGAGCAGGCGGAGGAGCGTCGTGAGATGGACTCACTCTTGTGCCCATGGACTTAGCACAGTTCGTTTTCACGCGCTAGCTTTGCATGCAATCAAAAGTCGTTTTCAATTCCACGTACACCTAATGCTGCCGCAAACTCGATCTAGATGCTGCAGTCCCACTCTATCAACGCCTCTAGCAGTAGCCTACCGACAGCAACGCTCGCATTTTCCTCATGCAGCGCATCCTCTATCTATCTGTCTCTCTACTCTTCTATCCACTTGACGCAATCCCACTCCCCCTTCAGGTTCTCCTTCCATAAGCTGACCTTGTTATCGCCTCCACTGACCGCCAACACGTTTCCACTCAGGCTCCAGCTCACCCTCCATAACACAGCGTCGAAGTTTAGAACCGTCGGTTTCCAATCGTTGGGGTGTGCGGGGTCACTTGTCCATATCCTGACCGTCTTGTCTTGCGCCGCGGACGCTATGTACGATTTCTGGAGGATTGTGGGTGCCCAGGCCACGTCCCGGACCCAGTCGGTGTGGCCGGCGAGTTCTTTGATGGGGAGGTAGGTTTTGTCTTGTGTACTGCGGATGTCCTATCAGCACGACCATCCCTTCAAAAGGAACAACATAGGAATAGTATGAGAGAAGAGCGTACCTGTACTCCCAGATCTTGACTACCCCATCACTCCCCCCAGTCACGAATCTCCTCACCCCTCCTCCTGCTCCCTTGCCGTCTACCCCAGGCTTACTCGATACCAGACTTCCTGGTTGGGTAGCAGGCGCCCAACTCACAGCATTGACCCCTTGTCCATGCGCAGCGAAGATTTGGTGTGTCCAATTTCCCTCTTGGAATTCTAGGACCGATACCTGCCCGTCTGAAGAGGCGCAGGCTAGTAGACAGCCAGATTCATGAGGGGACCAGGAGACTATGTTTACGGAGGCGGTGTGGAGAGCGAAGTTGGCGACAATCGTCCATTGCGAGTTGGGTGATTCGCGCCAGATGAGGACTTTGCCATCGTAAGAGGAGGATGCGAGGATGGAGCCGTACTTGGGGTGTGCCTGGTGATGGATGACGCGGGTTAAGATGAGGCAGGGTTTTGGGGGAGGGGAGAGGCGAACGGACCCATGAGACGCACCAGACTGCCCCCTCGTGTCTAGATCACAATGTCAATGCACAAAGCACGTGCTCAACTGGGAAGCCTGTTTCGTACCCTCGCAGTGTTTCTGTCAACTTGTGATTCTCTCCCTCCACTTCGAAGATCTTAATCGTCTTGTCTGAGGAACAGGTAGCCAGTCGTCGTCCATAATAGTCCAATACAGCATCATGCTGTCATAGCGCTCATCAGCCTCCGAATACGGAGCTCTGGGAAGCTTGGAGTATTAAGATGTACCTACAATCATGTCATCGTGACCGGAATTGGTGATAAGTTGCGCCTGAGACATGGTTAGGGATGATATCTCTGCCATTGGGTACTAACATACCATTTTCAGTGCTTTGGCCTCGAAAGGTAGAGGGGATGAGGCCAGCAATGCTCGAAATTGTTTCCTCAATATGCGACTTTCACCAATCCTCATAGGGCAAAGAGGCGGTCCTGGCGCGCATAACGGTACGGTGGCCGACAACTGCACTCAGGAAGCCGTGGAAGCCTCGGCTGTTTAGTTCGCTGGACACTCGTCTACATTCGCCTTCCCTGCTTCTCCTCTCTTCCTTCACAATCCTTTTCTCTTTGATCCACTCAAACGCTTCGCGGAGAAGAACAAACGATGGCCGACGCCCTGTGTGGGCCTTCAAACGCCCTCCAAACTTTTCAGAAACAGACCTCCGTAGATCGGACCTTGCAGCAAGACCGAATAACAGCACGTCAAGCACCGGCCGAGGTATGTCACCGCACTGCCAGCTTCTCCGAAGGAGATCTAACTCGCGACCTATAGAACTTTCGATCCGCGCCCGGTATACTCGATGCAGAGTTCGAAGCCTTTCAGGCAGGATACCCACTTCAAGCCGGATATCCCGAGCCTGATTCATTCTACAATGGCCCCCCAGCCAGCTCCTTCCAACAGAAACTTGGCCAGCCACAGCTCCCGAACTGGGCTTCGGATTTCCAGAATATGCAATTGAATGAGGCCCGAGTATCGCCAATTCCGCAATCCCAATTCCGTCAGCATGCCCCTCTGCAACGCACAGGTGGGTGGCACCAGGACTTCTTACATCAACAGAACCAGCCTTCTCCGTATCAATCTCAGCAACAGCAGATACCTGCTGGTCAGAATTACAGCGGATGGTCATACGGATACACTGGTGGCCTGTTGCCACAGCATCATGATACCCTGTCTACGATGGCGCGGCAGAAGCAGCCCGAAAGGCAAGCTGAAGATGTCTACGACGAAGCAGCGTTCGAGAGGGCTTTCGATGCAGCCAGAGAAGAGATACAGCAATCAGGAGATAGCGCTCATCGAAAGGAGACCCAAATAGACGCGGGACTGCATGATACCAAGGACCAAGAGAGTCAAGGATGGCTTGATCACAGCCGGATTGGCTTTGACAGAATTCTTGATGAAGCTCAAAAGAGGGGCGAGGAGGGCAAAGATGCGGACGATGCGGAAGAGCTTGCAAGAACAGCCGGTCAGCTCCTTGAAAATGTGAAGGGCGACCAGAGTCAAAAATTCCAGGAGAGTAACTTTCTTTTCCTCATGCGGCAATTGAGAGATAGGGAGGTTCGAGTCGAGGGCGATAAGCTTGTCGATGTTAGTATTCTCTCCCCTACTCCCTAGACGGAGCAAATTCAAGTATGTGGTGTCATGTCACTTTGGGCATTACAATGCGAGTGGTAAAGTCGCTGATGGATCCCAGGTATCGCAACCCCTGCACCCTGGCGGTAGCGGTTACCCTGTTTATCATGCCCACCCAGACTACTGGCCTGAAGACGTAGAATCGCTTGTGGCCGCGGGTGGGGCTCGTGATAGGGAACCAGATCCTCCTAGCGCGTAAGATACCTAGAGCCATAGGTTGGTATTCAGCAGCTAATCTTGCTTCTCAGTGAGGAGACTGATCTATTGACCCATCATCCAGCGCGCAACTACGGAGACCTACTGGGAGCAAATTCCATCCGGCGGGATGAATTAGTACCAAGAGCTCGAGGTCTCTTGGCGGACGCTGGACAGAGTCCTGATTACTTGAGCGAACGTACACTCGAGTCTTCCGAGGCGACGGACACTCCTACTTACTCATCAATCGACACCACTAGTGAAGCACTACAAAACTATCAAATGCAGTTAATGCTGCTCGAGCAGACCAAAAAAAAGCGCTTACTCATGGCCCGGCACGAGCAAGATACCATAGGTCTGGGCCATAGGTCTGGACAATCCAGTGACCAGCAAGCACCAACAGGAAAAGGGCAAGAGCAGTAGCAGTAAGCACAATGGCGGTCAGCCGAGTGCATAAGCTCATTTCATGGGCGACGGTGACCTGCTCTTCGTTTCCTTGATGTACTGGCGATCTAGAAATGAGGCTCAAAGGCTCAGAAAAAATATGACCAGACAGAAAACATCGAGTACTCGAACCGAAGCGTCATAGTATAGCTCAAATGCTAGCCTCTATGTGAGACTGGTTCACACATAATCTGTAGGTGCCTATCACGACCCTTGGATTGCATCCAGTCAATTGGCACATATTTGGGAGATCACAATCATGTTTGAAAGAGTTGCACGGTTCAGCAGCCATGCAATTCCTATCTGCTGCCGGGTCAAACTCCTTATCCGAACGGTGCCATATTTCCACGATTTGCAACCCAACAGCCACCCATTCACAATCGCAGCAATGACATTTGAGCAGCCCATGCTACTTGTACTCACTCCAAGTATACAAACCTGCCGTCTCCCTTCGCAGAGAGCCCTGATCCGCTCGCCAAGTGTTTGGTTGCGGAAACGGCAGTTCGGAATCAAATCACGACGACAGCGCTTGCGTGATGACTGTAAACCTCTGCAGGGCCTCGATCGAATAAGACGAGTGCTATGATGGAGCGACCTAGCATCAGCAAAGGTTCCCACAACATGGCCCAGCATGCACGTTCTGAAGTAGATGGCAGGGAGATGGTTTAGGTATGGACGCAGAATGGAAGGAGGATGGATTGAGATAAATTGCGGTTATTTACGTATAGATGGTAGCATTTATGTCTTTACACATGGCACATTACGATACGTGGACACGAGGAATCCTGTGCGTGTCCCTGTGAGTAAACGTTTTGCGTAAGAAAGGTATGCGCATGGGAATGCGACAAAGTTGGAGATTGTGAAGGGAGCGAGAAAAGGGGTGGGGGGAGGAGCCCGGTCATGCGTATAGCCCCGCTGCCACAGGCCGAGCTGGAGCAACGCAAGCATAGGATGAGTGAGTCGGAGGGCGAGGTGGGATGGGAAGGGAAGGGAAAGCGGAAGCAGGCGGAAACGGATCAGCAAAACACAGATGTGAAAAGCCCACTTCGAGGATACTGCTCGGTCCAAAAGATACGTGAGCGCGGCGAGTCTTGGGGAGAGAGTAGTAGAAAGGGACCGGTCCTGGATAGTGAAAGAATTCAGTACAAACAAGTATGGCTCTCTTCCATTTGAAGCCTACAGCCTCAGCAGATGATTCAGATCGAGAAGTCTAAAGACGGTGGAGCATACGTCGAAACGTAGCTGTATCTCTTTTTATGCCCAAGTCCCCAAGAAATGCTAATAACATGCCTTTCGCTCATGCTCACTGACTTGAAGGGTATTTATCATAATCAACCATGTACGCTTTGTCAATCTAAACCTACTAGATGGATGTAATTGGATCATCGTAGCCCGATGACGCTCTAGATGCCTTGTCAGTAATTGTCTGGAAAGCAAGAGAATCAAGGGCATAGTTGGAAATGTACTCACCATCTCCAGCGTCCAGACTCTTCGTATCCAAACCTTCAACTTCCCTTCTACACCTTCAACGTTGTCCAGCTCGACGCCTTCCCACCAACATCTCCTTGCTGGTTTCCTCCAGAATAGCAGCAGCTTCTGGGCCATACCCACCGCGTTGCTGTTGGCCAACGTCTCGCTACCCTTGATGTCAGTTCGGAGTCGCGCAAGGGCGAGGCTGCAAATGACGGCTTTGTTGGGCTCGCCGGCACGGTGGCCCCAGCGATCCTCGTTGTTGAAGCCACCAGCTGTCAACATCTCAATTAAATGCTGCTCTGTCGTCCCCGTCTCTTCACTCCTCCTCAACCCAGAAAATATTCCGTCCTGCTTCAGTAATGCTCTTCCTGCTGCCCGCTTGACCTCGATCATCTCGGTTTGGTCAACATCCGCTTTTGGCGGTATAGCGTAAAAATCTAGATCCTCTCGCAACACGATGATACCGGCTCGGTCTTGAAGCATGTCACGAGCGGAAGTGGAGGACGGTTCTGTTGAGCTTCCTTGGATTTCCGATGGTGATCCGGTAGGAGACGGTGAGGAGGAGGGAATTGTTTGGGCGACGATGCGGAAAAATTCGAGCATATACTGGAGCGACTGGGGATCATACTGGTGAACTGAATCAGTGCTGAGGAGTGACGAGCTATATGCCAGCTTTTCGGTAACGTACATCGACAGGGTATATGTCTCCTTCATGGAAGGAGTTCATATGACCATCTGGCAGAAGTCCATTGGGGAATAAGGAAAGGAGAACGAATTCGGGAAGAGTAAGAAGCTCGTCCCGTGACAACGTGAAGCGAGTTCCTCTGCAGGATCGGTGTCAGTTTTAGCGCAACAGGGGTGATTGATTCAACATACCTGAGGTCCAATGTGATATGCTCGTCCGCGCTGACATCTGAATGCTAAGTCAGCTTCCGCTATAGCAGCCGCGAAAATTGGGACTCTTGTGATCTTCGTACCCGCTAAAGTACTCACAGGCGCCGCACCCCCCTGCTGTACCTGAGTGATTATGCTCGCAGCACCGCCTGCGGCGGCCATCACGTATGTAAATGAGTCAAGCGGACTCGAGCCTTCTGTATATGGCGGTGGCGGCTCGGAGTCTTCCGCGTTCTTGCTTGATTCCCCCTTGTTGTCCGCTGGAAGCGCAGCCTTGGTCTCTGCCTCTACGCTTGCTGTGCCAGCGACGGCAGCCTCTGCAGGCGGTACCGGGCTGAAAGCCGGCGGTGGTTCGCTGACAGGCTCAGTGATGGATGCCTTGAGATGATCTGGAGATGTTTGCGGTGGAAAATAAAGAGATGAGAAGAGCGGAGGAGCGAAGGAGGGAAAGCTCGACGACGATGCCGGCGGAAGTGGGTCCTCAGGTGACTCGGTATATGGTGGCTCGGCGTCGCATGGGGCAATGGCTGCTCGAAAGGAGACCTTGTCAGATACGGACGAACCGTCGCTGGAATCTCGTGTCGCCGACAATTTGATGGTTGTTCCCCTGGTTACTCAAACGAGTCGAACGTTGCGATTGTAGTCGCTAGAATAGATGGCAGATAGAGCGGAATGGTACGCTATCGATTAGACCATAAGACAATCCTGGTACATTAGGAGACGATGATTTTTCGCTCAATATCTGGTTGTTTGCAGTTCCTCGTGCTGGGATATAGAGACCGTAATGAAGCCAGCCCTTTCAGGGCCAAACTTAACGTAGTACGCGATTGATGGCGCTAGATCTCTTTGGTCCTAGCGTTTGACAACAGTGAGCCATAAAGAGCGAGCAAGTTGTTGAGCCAGACCCTTTACCTTAGCTTCATACAACAGTGATCATGTCTCAATTGACTGGAGGTCTTATAGACCTCTCTCAAAATTCTCTCTACTGTACGTCCATAGCCTCAACCTTGTTCTCCCCAGGCGCTGACTCACCACGATGTAGTTTCTGCCCTTGCTATAGCGTTCAACCCCACATTCTGGAAGTGAGTATTCGCGTGGGATCCCATTGTTATGTACTCCCGTATGTTGGAGTAGAACTGAGTAGTCCCAGCATCGTCGCCCGCCAAGAATATCACAACAAGACACTCACCCGTCTCTTCAAGGGCAACTCTCTCCGAGCCTGTTACGCTCTTGCCCTCACCATCTTCGGCCTCGGCCTTCTCCGTGATGCCCTTTACGAACGTGCCCTCCGCCATCAACCGTTCATTCCCGCGTTTCATCACCCTTACATCGCCTATGTCCTCTTAGCCACTGGGAATACCCTAGTCCTAACCTCATACTACGCCTTGGGCATTACTGGCACCTTCCTAGGCGATTATTTTGGGATACTGATGGACGAGCCTGTGACGGGATTTCCGTTCAACGTCACCGGCGCGCCGATGTACTGGGGAAGCACGATGAGTTTCTTGGGGACGAGTCTCCTGTATGGGAGACCAGCCGGAGCACTTTTGACCATCCAAGTCTTCCTTGTCTACCTTGGGGCGCTTCAATTCGAGGACCCTTTCACGAGCCAGATTTACGCAGAAAGGGACAAAAGGGAGAAGGAAGGGAAGAAGGCGAAATGAGAACTACTGTTGGATCAGCAGCATGCGAAGACAAAGCGCTAGGAGCAAAGCAGATGTCAATTCAATATTGACAACGTTTTGAATATGGCATGTTCAACAGCTTTCTATATACTGGATGGGAGGGTTACTCGATATCATACAAAGAAACGATTGGTGGAGTGCGCTTACACTGTAGCTCCACCCTTGTGTTGAACCTCCATCTCAGCCCGCCTAATCAACTCTTCATAGAGAGTCCAGGCTAGAGCGGAGCTGAGGGCCTTCCTACCCATCCGCAACCCCAACCCGTCGAAGAGACTTCGAAAACCTTCTTCTTTAACCATTCGCCGCCCAGCTATAATCATATTGCTATATCTCCCAGGCATAAGCTGCAGTCTTGTCTTCACGGCATCAAATGGATTGGTAACCGCTGTAGCAAAGCCAGCTGCTAGAACACCAGACAGAAAGTTGATAGATAGAGAAGTGCTGCTTTTCATACCACCTTCAAAGTTTGATATCTCGGCGAGTGGAGTAACCTCCCGAACCTGACTCAGTCGTCGTTTCGACTGTTCGTAGAAGAGGACATATAAGCCAGCATAGGGAGCGTCTCGTATCGCTGTTGCTCCGAAGCCCGAGAAAAAGCCTCTGATGCCTTCTTTCTTTAGTATAGCGTTCCCCGCACTCCATATTGACTTATAAGAATATAAGCTCGATTCGTAGCGGACCTTGATGACCGTGATCGGCATCATGAAAAACCCCGCCGAAGCTCTTGCAATAGCTCCGGTAGTCATGTTTGCCATGTTAGATAATCTAGGCAAGCTCGAGGATGAGAACTGCGAGGTACCCACAGACGCTTGCACTTTACCTGTGGACGTGAGAAGATTCGATGTCGCAACATGCTGGCGCAATGCATTAAGAGAGGAGAAGTAAAGCGCGGAACCGACACCTGTACGTATGACAGATGGCAGTGTACCGCGCCAGAGTTGTTTTAAGGAGTTGGGACCTGCGAGAATCTGGCGAAGGGTGGTGACGAGGGAGGTTGAGCGGGACTGTTGGACACGGGTTTTGAGGAGGTCGGCGGGTTGGAGGAGGGTGGCGGACACGCAGCCCGTTGCAAGACCGGCAAAGAAGTGGAACGCTGGAGACGGGTGTTAGCTCTCGCCGACTGGGAGAAAATCAAATGAATGTACTTGACGAAGAGCGTTGAGTTCCATCTTTGGACATGTCCCTTGAAGAACGGGAAGATCACCAGATTAGCGGCGTGTGTACCTTGGATGTCGGCATCTTCAAGTCCCCATACAGTTGTCTATGTTACTCCTTGTATTCTGAAAGTTGACTGTGATCAATCACGTTTGGATGGAGGAATCTTGAAGACAATTGTCTGGCGGAACCTGCCGAGCCAAGAGTTGACCGTTGATCTGCAGAAGCGGTTGACTTCATGCCTCCTACTCGTAAAACACAACACAGTTTTTTCGCAAGGGATCGCGTGCAAGTTATCCTTACTATCAACTCATGCAATGGAAACAACATCCATTCAATGGGCAGCACTTCCAGTCTCGAGAGGACCATGGATGTCCACACTTCGTTTCACAAAATCGTCGCCGACTGATGCTGTATAGGGTAACATGAAACCTGAATAAACAGAAGATCTAGACTCGTACAATGTCACTGAAAAGTCCAACTTCGGAAGGGGGACCTTCCCAATCACAGGCCTCAGCCATGCCCTCAGTCTACGATACCTATCTATGCAGGGAGCCCGCCAATGATGTGCCTATGTTGATACGGAATGGTCCCGATGAATACACAGCCCTTTTGAGGATATTACAAAGATCAGCAGACTACTTCGCAGAAAAGGATCACACCAGGACGGTTGAAAGGCTACAATTGGAAATTGCAAGGGTACACATGCAGAACAAGCGGTGGGATCGTGCAGCCCGAGTGCTCATATCGCTCTCGCAGACATTGAGCTGGCGCCGAGCAGGCTGGTGGGTGTTGCTGGAAGAGATGGACTGGGCCTTAAGAGACTGTGCACGCCGCATTGGAGATCTTCAGACACTGATTGCTGTGGAATGGGAGCTCATGTGTAGCTGTAAGCCCAATGGCCTTCCTCGAATTTACTCGAGTTACCTCCATCTGACTTGATTCAGACCTGACACCAAGACAGGATTGGCATTATGACTTCTCTAAAGCAATAGACGGCATCAAGACTTCAAATCCACGGCCTAAATCTGTTATACGAGCTGAGAGCACACTTTCGTGCAGTAAGTCTATACGGTCATAACCCACGAGTGGTCTGAATTGAGATTATTATACTTGCTAATCCCCGAACAGTCTCTGCAACGTTTGCATTCGGTGTTACTGAAGGTAATGTGGGTGTATCGCTGCCCTCACAGCTAATTGTTACTTCTCGCACACACAAGGATTCGACTCCTATCTTAGTTTCGCAAGTCAAGGTTGCGTTCGAAGGAGGTCTGAGGAGCTTCAACATCCAGCATGAGTTGACCGAAAAACCCGAGGCTAGCACGTCTGATGGGCTGGCGCACCTTCATCGCATTTCCCTACAAAAGGCTTCTTCAGATGCTACATCATTACCCTCAAGTCCGAATTTCTCTCCGGGCTCCCAGCCACTGATCAGAGTTGCTGATCTAGAAATTGCCCCTGGCGTCACGAAAGCCCTGTCGCTTGATCATGTACCGCGTGATCCTGGAGACGTTGAGGTTGCAAGCATCACTCTGTGCATGTCTGTAGTTGACTTCGATATGGAGGTCGTCATCACTGAACAGGAACAAATTCATCAAGAAACTCTCTGGGTTAAAAGTCCATTAGGCTTGTTGCCAAAGAAAGCCAAGGTTGGACGCAGTAGCGTCGTGAAAATCTTGCCCAAGCCGCCTAAAATGCAGATTCAAGCCCTCGGCCTGTCACCGAATTACTTCACTGACGAGGACATCACTATAGAGATAGAAGCTACGAACGAAGAGGAAGAAGAAACCAATGTTAGCATTGACGCCCGACTTCTAGCACCTTCAGGGATATTACCGACGCTGAGATGGGCTTTGGATGAAGGAGAGGACTCCAGAGAGGTCGCCCCAGAGGATCCGCCGGATCCCAGCAGTATTGACTCTTCTTCGAAAAGCATCGGCAATCTAGCTCCCATGGCGAATCGAAGACATACACTCTGCATTCAAGGGTCACCAGTTGCGGCGGACTATATTCTGGAAGTCAAAGCGCGTTATCACGTTCTTTCCGACCCAGAAACACCGATCATCAAAAGTTTCTCAACTAAAATCGGAGTCGTGACGCCATTCAAGGCAAATCATAGTTTCCTGCCTAGGATTCATTGTGAACCGTGGCCGAGTTACTTCAACGCTGACGGCCTTGATGAGAACTCCAAGAATGATGCGGGCGAGATGGAGGTCGCGAAGGGACTGACTCAAGAATGGTCTTTGACTTCGAGAATTGCGTCTTTGGCTAATGTTTCTTTAATGATCCAGAGTGTTGAACCACAAGTAGTCGAGATCCACGAAGGAGCCATTTGTAGTATCTCTTCGGCTTCTGGGGATACTGTTGCAGCGTCCATGATCTCGCCCAATGATTTTCAGGCGCACGATTTTGTCATCCTTGCGCAAAAATTAGACCTGGAAGACCGTCGATCTACCTTCCTCGATCTACGATTGGAAATCAAGTGGCATCGAGACGGCTTCCAGGGCCCTCCAGTAGTCACCCACCTTTCTGTGCCAGAACTGGTCATACCGTTTGGCGAGCCTCGAGTGCTAGCATCCGCGCGGAGTGGGAACGTCCCACCAGGAGCGATAAATCTCGATTATGTCATAGAAAACCCTTCGATGTACGCGCTCCCATTCCAATTGACCATGGATATCAGCGAGGAGTTTGCATTCAGTGGGCCCAAAAATGTCACCTTACAATTGGTGCCGCTCAGCCGGCATAATATTCGATACGTTATCTTGCCGCACGTGAAGGGGTTGTGGATTAGCCCTCAGTTCAGAGTCTTTGACACTCATTTCCAGAAGAGCTTGAAGGTCAACGCCACTGAAGGAATGAGAAGTGACAAAAAGGGAGTGTCGATTTGGGTGGATGCCGATAGCTGAACGACGGACTACACAATGCTCGTCAACAACAATAGAAGGGTGTGGGATGAGCACAGAAAGAAGCCAAATGGTGGAGACTCAGGCTGTCAGTCTCTGAAAGAGGCAAGGAACAAGGTGTCACAGACTGAATAATTAGTGTCTCAGAAGGCCCCGTTACGGGGCGGTCATTGGGCAGGTAAAGTCACGACATCTGTGACTGTAACTAGCATTAATGAAACCTATGTGAAATATGTGACATGTCTCGTATGCTCCAACTATATGGGAAGGAAGTTTTCCAGTGATTTGGCAATTCAAAAAAGCAGTCAACCGGCAAAGCAAGCCACTTCTGAAGTTCTGACACTAGTGAATTTAATCGTTTCAATAAGTACGAATCACCACTTCTTTCGCATAAGTACCATCTACTCTTCTCCACGAATATCCATACCAATCACGAGCTCACTGTTGCTCATGGCATTTTCGTCACTCGTTTATCCGTGTCATCAAATATATCAACTCATGAGAAGTTTGAATTTTGTTACATAATGAGCAATGGTAAATCGCCCCCCTCCGAAGCAGCCTCGTATCGAAGCAATCAGCTATCTTGAAATACGAACCCATGTCAACTAACCGCGTCGTTGACAGGGGTGTTGTCATTCCACTGCCCGCGATGAAGAGGAATCATCGCCTTATTCCCCCTCGAATGCGCACGGCGACTCCTCCTCACGTGCCATCACCTCCGCCCCCACCCAGCAACTGCCTGAACCCCCTAGTCCACGGACTTCATCTCAGAATCCTGAGATCTCACAGCGAAGCCGGACGCGGAGAAATCTAGCCTTAGGGGAACAGTTCAACGCACCATTACGGCTCCATGTATGGACGGCGAAGACGCAGTGGACTCGGTCGCAGCTGGACAGAGAGAGACAAGAGTTTTTCGATACGAGGGTTACGGGCCATGCAGAGATATGGGCAACACTGAAGGTCGTAGTGGGGCTTTTGGCGGACGGCGACATTACTACGGCACAGAGCATACTGGACGCCGCAGCTATTACGGTACCTACTGGTGATTTCAAGAATGGTGCGTATGACGAGGCAGGGAATTTGTACCAGATGCCAGAGCATGTCATTAGCGATCCTCAAAATGTGGTATTGGACCAGCAAGAGGAGATCAAGAAAGGAGAAGGTTCCAACGGGGCAGCAGATGACGATGAAGCGATCGAAAGGAAAAGAGAAGAGAAAGGCAAGTCAGTGCTTAAGACTGGCGATACCATCAAAGTCAGGGCGAGACTTAGTGATAGAGGAGGGCCGGATGTCGTCATTCCATTGGGCAAAGATCAGGTCGTAAGGATGTTGGTGAGAAGGGTTCAAGAGGAGGCTAATGTGAGGATAGAATTTTGCGTGTTACTAACGAGCACCTACTGACATTTCGCATAGATGACTGGGAACGGAAAAGTGAAGATTGCATATATGGGCAAAATCCTTAAAGATACAGAGACTTTGCAGGCACAGGGTTGGCGCGAGGGTCATGTCGTCAATGCATTGGTATTTAATGTATAATGGTGCAACTCAGGATGATATCGGTATTCTAGGGTGATGTCTTGAAGAGCCAAGATTTGTCTTGGAGCTTTATATCTACGATATAACGTGAATGCACCGGGAAATGCGCTGGGGACACTGTATTTTATTTGCGTCAAATCATGTAATCCCTGTACATTTTGGCATTTACGATAACTCATATATGCTATTGCAACAACTTCATAGGGAAGGAAGAATCATTTGACTGTTTTGAATGAGAATGAGTAGAGTAATTAAAAAATTTGTAAGGGGAGACTATTTATAGCGTATGATACGAAACGTTCGAAAGGTGTCCATCAAACAAACAGGGCGGCCGCTAAAACTCCAGCATCCACGACTTCCATGTAACCAACGTACATACGCGCTCTACTCTACAGTATTGACGGCCATCTCCATACGCTCGCTACCAAGTCATTGGCTGCAAGATCCCGACAAATCTTCCTTGACCATATTTTTCAAATCGCCCCTAAGCAAGCTCGGAGACAGTTTCGGGACTGTAAGCAATAGCACCCAGGTTGCGCCAGAGCGAATTGTACGCAAGCTGGACTAGATGAGAGGTATAAATGGACGTCTGAGCATGGGGGGAAGAGGTCTTGACGCTCTATTTCCTTGATCCGGTCCTTGCTATGGCATCTGACCGCTCCTCTCCCAATAACAACCAGAGACGCCAATCAATACCATTGCAGGATCTTTCACGACAGCCCGATCAGACTTCTGATAGTAACGAAGGATGGAGCCATGGCAGGAGTTCAAGGAGAAGGACACGGACACTGTTGGGTCATCGTCGATCATTCAGTGGGAGGGTCAATACAGCCTACGAACGGGTCAACGAGGGGTCTCCGCCTGCTCCTGCAGGGGAGAATGTAGGCCTGCCTCATGTCACGACACCCAGGAACGCTCACCAACCACCTGTAAGTTACGACGATGGAGAGGTTTCGCCGGTCAATGCGGAAAACTTCCAGGCCGCGATGGGATCCGTTGGTCTAAGCTTCGAGCCTCCAGGACCCTCTAGGCCACCACCTGGAAAAAGGAGAAGCACACTGAACGTGATCACGGAAAATGATGCGGTATCCACATATTCGTTACCTACTTCTCATCCAATTGATGAGGCCGAACAGGACACCTACTTTTCCCCGCAAGACACCGATAGAACACCCCTGACCGACTCGAGATTCCTGCAGCCTATTGCTGGTGCAAGAGCACCTGGACCAGGGCTTCGTGCACCACCACCCAGTGTGGGCCACAGCAGGTCAGGTTCTCGACTCGGTGATGATTTGCCGCATGTGGAGGCTGGGATGGGTAGACCCTCTTCGACCATGAGCACCAGATCTCTAAGCCCGTCAACAGCATCTAATCCTTTATCAAGAGCTGGAACTATATTGAGGCAAGCATCTCAGCGAGTTGTCAATCTCAGCAACGAGCCAGATACCATAGAAAACAGTGTGCGTCGAGAACGTTCGATCAGGGAAGCCCGGATGGAGGAACCACCAAGTTTCCCAGCTATGCAAGACTACGCCCATGATGAAAGATCAAGTCCTCCCCCAGAGAAAGCCCAACAGCTAGTATCAACGAATGAACGAGTGCCGCCGGAGCCGAATCCGCTCAAAGGGAATTCTCTCGGGATATTTTCTCCGGATAATTGGATCCGACTGAAGCTCTGCGAGATGCTTGTGCATCCAGCCACCGAGCCCGTGATCTTGATTCTCATTGTCGTTCAGACCATACTCTTGGCTATCGACTCGGCGAAACCTATTTATTATACTGAAACAAATGAGCCCCAGGCCTGGAAGGCATCATGGATCAATTTCGCCCTTCTCGCCCTGTTCTTCATCTACACGCTAGAACTACTAGCACGGATCATTGTTTCTGGTTTGATAAAGAACGCCGATGAGTACAGTACTCTTGACATCGCACGGGGCTTCAGAGCCGCTCTTAGCGATAGGGTCCGGACTTTCTTTGCCCCCCAAAGACATTTGACGGTAAGGGACGGGGTGAGGGAAGCCGGACAACAGCCATCTATTCTCCGCTCGTTTACAGGAGCGCAACTGCATGTCGACCACCCAGGTCACTCACGTCAACAGCAAAGGGTTCGGCTGGCTCGACGAGCGTTTCTCCGCCATGGATTCAACCGTCTGGATTTTGTGGCAGTTGTATCATTCTGGATCATGCTTGTCCTTTCTCTGACTATGGTCGAGGGTAACCGTCACCTATTTGTATTTCGAATGCTGAGTTGTCTACGCATCCTGAGGCTTCTCGGGCTTACCAGTGGTACATCGGTAAGTGTTCGGTTTTCAAATGTTCCGCTAAACCAGACTGACTTAAACGGTCCCAGGTGATCTTGAGAAGTCTGAAGAAAGCAGCGCCCATGCTGGTCAACGTTGCTTTTCTCATAGGCTTCTTTTGGCTTCTTTTCGCTATCATTGGGGTCCAGGCTTTCAAGTCATCGCTCAAACGCACTTGCGTCTGGTTTCCGAACGCAACTGAAGTTCTCCTAAACCCTAATAGTAATTACTCTAACAGTTACAATCTGAATGATCCGAACAACCAAATCCAGTTCTGTGGAGGGTATATCAGCCCTACTAACGGGTCAGAGATGCCATGGCTTAAAGCAGATCTTATACAGAACGGAACCGGAAAGCACAAAGGCTACCTTTGCCCGCAGAACTCACTTTGTGTGGAAGGCACAGGTCCGTACAATGGGACGGTCAGCTTTGACAACATATTCCAGTCTCTAGAATTGGTCTTCGTGGTCATGAGTGCGAACACTTTCTCGGATCTCCTCTACTACTGTACTGATACCGACTTCCTTGCTGGAGCTCTATTCTTCGCCTTCGGGATTGTCGTTATGAGTCTGTGGCTCATGAACTTGCTTGTCGCGGTTATAACATCGTCCTTCCAGGTCATCCGGGAGGAAAGCAAAACAAGTGCATTCACAGTTGCTGAGCAAGATCACTTCATTGAAGAGGAAGAAGAGATTCCAAGAAGGAGTCGTTTGAAGCGTGCGTACGACATGACGGAATGGCTATGGATTGTGATCATTCTTTTCGACCTTTTCGTGATGTGCCTTCGAAGTTCCGACATGAGCCAAAGCCGTCAACGTTTCATCGATGACACGGAGACGATCGTAGCCTGTGTTTTAGTGTTCGAGATCCTTCTGCGCTTTATTGCTGATTGGAGGAATTTTCATAAAAGCCAACGCAATTGGATCGACCTAGGCCTCGCGATCATTACCGCAGTCATACAGATTCCTTCTATTCACGACTCGGGCGAGGCATACGAATGGCTCACATTTTTCCAAATCATACGGATCTATCGCGTGGTCCTTGCGGTGTCGCTCACGCGCGAACTAATCAAAAAGGTTCTGGGCAATGTCTCTGGTCTACTGAATCTAATCGTATTCGTGTTCCTCATAACCTTCCTCACCGCAATTTTTGCCGTTCAGATCTTTC